GGCCGCCTCCACTAAACCGGCGGCCAAACCTCCCCCCAAAGCTGGGTCCGCCAAACCTGCGGACGCCAAAGCCGCCGACCCCAAAGCCGCCGCCGGGGCGCCCAAACCCAGGGAGTCAAAAAAGATCAAGGACGATGAATCATCATCATCATCAGAAGACCGGCCAAAGCCGAAGTCGGTGCAGCCCAAGCATGAAGTGGGGACGAGGAAAGGCTGTCGCCGCTACCGGTGGGAACTCAAGGACAGCAACAAAGAGTTCTGGATCATGGGGCACGCCGAGGTCAAGATCCTGAGTCTGGTGAGGGGTGTCCCTGAGCGGGGTTCCATGCCGGGGGTGGGGGAGAGAAGGAGCGGGCTGGGGCGGCCGAGGGCTTGGGGCGGTGAGAGCCTGGCCGCCGGCTCAGCGCCCCTGTCTGCAGGGCTGCCTCATAGCGGCGCTGATCCTGTTCAACGCCACCACCTCGCACCCGCTCCTGACGCTCATCGTCACCATGGAGCTGTCCATTTTCGCCTTCTTCATCATCCTCTACAGCTTCGCCATCCAAAGATACATGCCCTTCATCCTGTGGCCCGTGTCTGTAAGTGGGGAGTGCCGGCGACGGGTCCCTGTTCTGAGAGCCTGAAGTGACTGAACGGACACCTCACCCCCACCCTCATCGGCGCTGGCCTGCGCTCACTTCCACATGGGCTCAGGCAGGCGGCCGGAGCCAGGCAAAGGCTCTGTGGGTACCTGGTGGTCAAATTATAAGGGCCTGAGGCTTGGCTGTCCTCTGAGAAAGGGGAGGCAGAGCCGTTACCCCTAACCCCTGTGCCAACTCACACCTGCTTGGGGAGATCACGCACCCTGTCCCCAGAACTCCAAGAAGAAAATCAATCTCCCCATCAATTTAGTGAGATAAAAATGAGAATTAAAAAAAAAAAACAGTCATTTCTGGGGCCAGCCCCACAGATTGGTGGTTAAGGAAAGCCAGATCCCACACCATGGACCGTGGTTAGAATCCCAGTCCTGGTGGCTTAAAAACCATGCTGTTTGGTGCCACCCCCAGGGGCTGGAAGGAGGCGGGCTTTCTCCCTTTCCCCTTTTCTCTCTCTTTCTTTGTGTCTCTCTCTCTCTCTGAAAAGCACACATGCCCACCAGTAATTAAAAACTATATACATACATTAATTAAATACATAACCAAATAAATGAAAGATCTCTGTATCGAAAGATGTTCAGCCCAGAGTAGCCACCCAGTGGAAGGAGACAGGTGGGCAAGCGGCCCAGCTGCTTCCAGCCCGTCCCTCATCTATAACAGGGACCGTAAGAATCTCGTTTAGTCCTGAGGACTAAACAGAAGGCAGCAGGAGGGGTCGCACATGACCGCAACCCACTGGAGTGCTTTCTCTGTCTCTCTCTCTTTGGTGACCACATGTGCCCTCTGGCAAAATAAGGGAGGGGAGGAAAGACCCATGACAAAGTGGCCAGCAAAGGAAACCAGCAGAAAATGACAAAGGACAAGTGCGCATCGTGGACCACCACAGGGTGGGCTGCCTCTCGCAGGGAGGCGCGGTTTGGCCCCAGACCCCTTACCCCAGGAGTGAGAGGCGAGGAGGTTGGCTGCTACCGCTAAGGTCTGGCCAGCTCTGAGATGTTCGGCTGTGCCTTATCGCTAGGAAGAGGGAAACAAGTCTGGAGTGTGACAGAGCCCGGAGCCTCGGGCTGGCCAGAGGGGCTGGTGAGGAGGAGGTACAGCCCGCAAAGAGGGAGGAGGGAGTAAGGCAGGGGCAGGGGTGTAGGCAGCTGCCATGCTCCTGTGAGGGGCTAGAGCTCAACAGCCTCCTGCCAGCAAGGAGCCCCCAGGCTGCAGAGAGGGCAGCTGGCCCTTAGGGCAGAAAGGTGATGGGCACGGTACCCAGGAGAGACACATTAAATCTCAGAGTGGCACATTTATTTAAACAAGGATTGGTGGAGGGAACGTAACCACACCCCAAGTGGGCTATGTCACAGATGAGGTACAGGAGAGGGGGTCACACCTTCATGGGCTTAAGCCTGAGGGCAGTTAAGCACCCTGGGCTCTGGGGCTCAGCTCAGTGAGCACAGCCGAGGGGCCCAGGCTTGTGTGCCAGCCTGGCGTGCACGTGTCTGTATGGTGCCATGTCAGAGCAGGGGAAGTTTCCAAAATCATTCCTGCAGAGTAAGCATCACCGGGCCAGGGGTCAGTGGGGGCCCAGGCTCTGTGGAAGGCTGGTCACCTCTCCTACGACAGGACCTCCTTAACGACCTGTTTGCCTGCGGGTTCCTCGTGGGAGCGGCTGTCTTCGCCGTGAGAAGCCGGAAGACCATGCCCGTGCAGTACTTCGTCGCCGTGGTGAGTCCTCGCACGCCGGGCTGTGGGTGTGCTCTGCGTTCCCTCCTGGGAGTGGGTCGTCCTCCCTCTGTAAGGAAGCTTTCTCTTCTTTTCACAAAACTCTTGGGATCAAAGCAAAGTTTCAAAGTAAAGTTGGTGTTTCCAGTGGAGAAGCCATCGGAATGGGGGGGCTCCCGGGCTGCTGGCTGCAGAGTGAAGGGGGCCCCACCCTGTCTGGGTGTAAAGAGAGAAAAGGAAGAGAAGAGATGCCGGGACAGGGAGCAGAGCGAGCTGAGGCACGGGGAGGAGGCGCCCTGGGAGCTCTAGGGGACACGGGGTGTGTTAAACGGCATCTGGTGAGTGAGAAGCAGGGAAGGAAACACCTGGGCAAAGAACAGCCAAGGCCACGAGCGAGCGAGGCCCTTTTGTTTTCCAGGTCCTTTGCGGACTGGCTGGATTTTTTGCTTTAATCGATATGTGTCTTCAAAGAAATCACTTCAAAGGCAAGAAGATCAAGAAGAACATACTGGTCCCCCCGCCAGGAAAGGATAAACCACCAGAGCCAGGCAAGGGAAAGGAACCAGAGAAAAAAGATACAGAGAAAAAAGAACCAGAGAAGCCCAAGGAAGCAGACAAGGGAAAGGAAAAGGAAACAGTGAAGGGGAAGGGAAAGAAATGACGGAGACCCCCGTCCTCAGAAACGGCAGCGTGTTTCACAGCACAACGGATTTCCGCTGTCTTCCTTCCGGAATGACTTTCTTTTCCAGTTTAATGACCACCTTTGTTTGCAATGGAAGTTTCTCTTTAAATGGATTTAAAACCTAAAGTTGATATAAACATTCTTTTGTCCATCTCACCACCCCCACCTCCCCAATTACGAAAGGTTATGATGCAGAGGGTGGAGCTGGGCCTGGGACCCACGGCTCTCTCAGTGTGCTCGTAGGCTCCCAGGCACGAAGACTTGGGGGCCAGATAATGGGGGAGATTGGCTGTCAACACTGACTAGCCAAAACTTTGTATGGGAGTTTGGCACCTTTAACCAGCACGCCACCTGCTATCCCCTGGACCCTGCAACTTGAAAAAAGACGCCAGGCAGGGACCAGCAGTTGGTGTAATGGCTATGTAGTCGACCGCGGTTCGAGTCCTGGACTCGGTGGCTTAAACTCACACCGGGTGCGTGTGCATGTGTGCCCAAGATCCCGAGAGGAGAACGGAGGAGAAGAGATTGCGGTGTGACCATCCCTGCTGGGGTGGGAGGGTGATTTCTCACTTTCTGTCTCTCTGTGTCCTGGAGAGCGCATGTGCACTGTAGTAAAAACCTCTCCAAAAAAGAAAAAGAAAAAGATGCCAGGCACATGTGTGCCCCAAATCCTGAAAGGAAGAAGGAATGAGGAATGAAAGGAGATTGTGGCGTGACCATGCCCCATGGTGTGCTTTCTCACTTTCCCTCTCTCTGTCTGTCTGTCTCTGGTGAGAACATACACCCTCTGGAAATGTGTCTTCCATGAGAGGGAAAGATTTTGAGAGAGAGACAGAGAGAGGTAGGTACCCTCAACAGGGTCTTCATGCCACGATCCAGCCTCACCCTCAGCCAATCCATTCCCCAGCATGTGCGTAAGGCCAGTGTGCTCAGGGCGCCCTTCCCATGTGGGCCTGTTGAGTTATTGCTCCACCACTGCCTAGCCCTACATTATTATTATTATTATTATTATTATTATTATTATTATTGTTTGCCATAGGGTGCATTCCCTTGCCAGAGAGACAGTGACAGTGAGAAATAGTGCCCCAGGGGGGATGGCCATGCCGCAAGCAATCCCTTCTCTTCCATTCTTCTCCTGAGAGATTTTCAAGTCACCAGATCTGAGATGCCAGCAAGGGTTGGCCATGTGGGAGTCCAGAATCTAATTGCGCCATCTGCTGGCCCCTCTGCATTCTTTTTTTCTTAACAAAAAGTTTATTATGGAAATGCACATGACGTGATTTTTACAACCGTAAAACAGGTCCGTTGACGAGGGGACATGGGTTTTTCTGTTGGACAGCCATTATTTACACTCGTTCCAAGGCTTCTAACATGATGATACTATTTCCTCGTATTACCACCACTCCAGTGCTGTCCTGTTGCCCACTAGTTGCCATCTCCACACATTCATCTATCACAAGATTCATAAATGGATCAAATCCCCGCAATATTCCTTGGACTTGTCTGCCGCCATTGAATTGCAATGGTAACTTCTTGTCCATACATTTTTTCAATTCGGGAGGGTGAGCTTTGCTCATGGTACCAACTCGGCGGGCTCAGGGATGCCTCTGCATTGTTTTTTTAAAAGATAAGAGTCCCACCAAGTTGCAATCCTCCTGCCTCAGCAGGTCAGCTTGGGACGACAGGCACCAGCCATGACGCCCAGCTCTTTCTTCAGCCAGCTCTAGCTATGGTGCCTAGGCCGTCCTTGAGCTCATGATCCTCCTGCCTCAGCCTCTGGAGTGGCGAGGGTGATAGGCACACACCACCACTCTCAGCCTTTACGTTGGGCCAGGCCTCCCAGGGAGCTCAGCCTGCAGAGCGCTGTGGCAGATCGTGTGAGTTCAGCCTGCAGAGCGCTGTGGCAGATCATGTGTGTGTGTGTGTGTGTGTGTGTGAGAGAGAGGGGGGGGGGGGGGGGGGGGGGGGGGGGGGGGAGGGAGGGAGGAAGGGGCAGAGGCTCCGGGTGTATGCGTGGGAGTCCTCCCGGGGCTGGCCATGGACTGGAGCAATGGCCAAGGAAGTCGAAGGAAAACTCGAAAGACCCAGAGAGGGGATGGAGTTGGGGGCCTGACCGCGCAGCCCAAGCCGTTGCGGGTACTAGACGGGTGTCTTTGTTGCTTAGACGCTTAGGTTCCTGAGTCCTGGACACGCGCACGGGCAGGAAGTTAGACCTGAGACAGCGAGTGTAGACAACTCTTCTGGGCAAGGATAGGTGGGAGCTCCGACGGGGTGTTCAGGATCGCAGGCGGTCAGGACAGAGGTGAAGGGATGAGGGAGTCTGAAGGGGCTCCAGTCTGCACCGCGGCGGGTTGGGCCTGCGCCAGCTCCAGCGCCAGCAGGCGGGGGGCGGGAGGGGGTCGGGGGGGGGGGGCGGGCTGGGAA